GCTGGCGATCGCAACGTTCACAAAGTAAGTAACACAGTAAAAAGAAAATTAAAAGATGACTAATGACTGAAACTTTTTCTTTATGAATATCTTTGAGCTAAACTCAGAGTCCACCAAGAAGGTATTGAAATACAAACACAACCATAATTACATCAAAATACTGAGTACGTATTCTCCAAATAACACTCGTATTATTATTTCAACTTAAAAAAAAGTGCCCTACACACATTTTAAACAGTTATCCAAAACCCCAATTCGAGCCAGCCGAATAAACTTCGGCGAGAAAACTTTAAAATTAGCCAATCAGGATACTACATGGCGTAATTTTTGTCTGTCATTAACACCGTGTCAATATTTCAATCTAAATTAGTGTCATCATAATAATAAGGATCTTTTGGATCTGACAAGTTGAGTTTCATTATTTCATAGCTTTTAGGGGGAAATGGTTATGAAACACGGCAAACATCAAAGGGGCAAAAAAAGATGCCAAGATTTATGTTGGAAGGTCCACGTCCGTGTACAATCTTTTGTTTTGCGCCTATACACTATGCATGAATTACATCAAGTTACATCAACATCAACAACAACATCTTTATTTATCCCTTCCTTTTCATAAATTAAATTACATAGTACCATAATAATTAAATTAAATTAGGGTAACTGACAGCCTGAAATAACCCGAAATAATTAGAAATGCCAGGTTGCCAGTTAATTACATATATATTACAAGTTGTAGTCGTTAGCTAATTACGTAACCAAAACATTTCTATTGGCTAGTTCCTCAGCACGGAGTAAACAACTATTGTGTTTTGTTGAGTTTCATAACCATTCCCCTCTATTGACTATGATTATTTCTGCATGACGATTCAAGCCAAGTGATATAAATAATAGACCACCGAAATGGAATTAAATTGTAGAGTGACAGCAAGAAATAAGATATATATTTAAAGGTTATCTTTCTCGTTTGTTACTTTTTTTACTACGAAAAAACCTAGAAAGAGCCAGGTCTTTTAACTGAAAATGCTTCTTATAACTCATGTTTGTTCGGTTTATCACAGAATAATTGCAATAATTATGTCTTTTTATTTTGCCTCCTTGAATGCAAAATTGCCTGGCGTTTGGAGGCATTTGTACGAATCGGCGAGTATCACAACGTTGACTCGTTTTAACAATTTAACATTAAACAATTAACGATTTTTGTCCTCATCATTTGCTCCACAGAACGATATTCCGCTTTTAAAGGACCAAGTATGGAAATATACTATAGCCTTGCAAAAGAACAGTTGAAACGCAAGATTGATCAGGTGGAACGAATACGTCTTACAAAAACAGTAGCCAAAGGTGTACCAGCTTTCGTGCAACACTCCTTAATCCTGGATTCCTTTCAAAAAGGGGAGACTCGAGATATTAGTAAGGGTGATACAGTAGAAGAACGTTAGCAAGTTATCTTTCAAACATCGTCTTTTAGTCAAAGGGCACCAAGGATTGCCGGTTGATTGATCTTCAACTAAGGTCAAAATACTAACCGCTTTAGAGTGTACAGTCATGTATTCTGCACGTCAAGTAACGCATGTTATCTCTAGTTAGCACACTAGAAGTATTAACTTGTTATTAAAGTTGATTAAAATGTAAATTAGAGCAGGCAATTTTATATCTAAGTAACCAAAAGTGTGTCAGATTAAAATGTAGATTAGTTCAGTTAAGTTTATATCTGAGTAAATAAAACTTGGTGTGTGAGATTTAAATGTAGATTAGAGCAGTTAATTTTATATCTGAGTATCCATAAATGTGCAAATCTATGCATTGCAAATTCATTCCTGAAGCAAGATGGGGTCGACATGCGTGATGAGTAATGAAGGCGAACGGATTTTGTCAGTTTAGATGATTAACTAACACCTGACAAAATCTTGTGTTAAACTCAGTAGTTTTGCTGAGTGTCAACTGGGACACTGCCACGTTTTGTAATGTAAGAGTTTCCCACTCAAGCCTGCGACGAAATTATTTCAAGAAACGTTGACGCATAAAAGGGTTAAGCCTACGCTAGTATAAAGAAAATTAGTTGTTTTTATTATTTCCTTATGTCGAATGTTACTCAGCCCATAAAAGATTTTTTGGTACGTTACAGTGTATAGATTTTTTGGACAATTTTCCGCTGATACTTGATGTAGGCTCAAGTTGTTTATCTGACGTTTCTTTTTGCTTTTTCATATAGCTGTTCGCTATTTTAGTTTCTCCATCAGGATGAAGAAATATCATTAATTGTTCCACACTTACTTAGAGAACGTATCTCATTTCAGTACTCGATGTAAACAGGTAAATTTGTACTCGGATATTGCATTAGTCTACATGTATCGTCCACTGAACATTTTGTAAAACATTAAAAGCTCAGATATCCATTTAATAAAAGAGTGTGTACAAGTGAATACATGAATGCAATTACGTCCTCATAAAAAAA